ACAGTTACCTGGCAGGCAGAAACGAGGCGATCGAAACAAGCCCTCAACCCTAAACCCTGAACCCTAACCCTCAACCCTAAACCCTAAACCCTAAACCCTAAACCCTAAACCCTAAACCCCCCTAAACCCTAGACCCTAAACCCTAAACCCTAAACCCTAAACCCTAAACCCTAAACCCTGAACCCTAAACCCTAAACCCTAAACCCTAAGCCCTAATTCAAAGACCTCCCCAGTCGTGTTTTTTCGGGCGAGGCTCCGCGTCGCTGATCGCCTTCAACCTCGCAGTGGACTCCGTCCAGCCGGACAAGGCTTCAAAGGGGGGGTTTAGGGTTTAGGGTTTAGGGTTTAGGGTTTGGGGTTTAGGGTTTAAGGTTTAGGGTTTTTCGGGGCTTCGGGAGTTCAGGGGGCTCAACGTCAGTTGAGGGAGTTGAGGGGCTCAAAAATTTTGGCGGGTTTTGCAATGTGCGAGTGTAGGGAGTTTCGGATGGGTTGCAAGCTTAGGGGGTTGAGGGGTTTTGGTGGGGGAAACCCTAAACCCTAAACCCTAAACCCTAAACTAAACCCTAAAACTTAGGCTTCAAAGGGTTTGGGGCTTCGGAGCTGGCCTTGGGGATTAGGTTTTGGGCTTCGGAAGAGAACCCCTCTCTTCCGAATCCCAAGATCCACAACATCCCAAAGACTCTGTCAGAAATTATGCAGCTTCGGAAGCAAAACCCTCAAAAAATCGAGGCCATTTGGGGTTATCCATCGAAGCGGCTTCGAGGAGTCCCCCTCGGAGCCTCCGACAACCCAAGGAAAAAGAGGACGAAAATGATGGCCCTGAACTGTAGGGTTTAGGGTTTAGGGTTTAGGGGTTTAGGGTTTAGGGGTTTAGGGTTTAGGGTTTAGGGTAGGGTTTACAGAACTTGGGAGCTTATCTCCCCCTCGTGGACTTCGGTGGCTGTATCGCTGTGAACTCTGCTTCTAAGCCCTACACCCTGGACGTTAAAGTCCTGCGCAGCCCTAAACCCTTAAAGACGTAATCCTTGAGGCTTGAGGGGCCTAAACCCTAAACCCTAAACCTGTAAGGCCACCTAAGCTTGTTGGAGTTAGCTCCGGCGTTTCGTTGCAGTACTGCCCAGGGCTTTAGAAGCAAAGAGGTGCTGTTCAGTGGTTTACGAAACAATGCAAGACACAAGCCCTAAACCCCAAACCCTAAATGCCCAAACCTTAAACCCCTAAACTCTAAACCCCCAAACCCTAAACCCTACACCCTAATCCACTAAACCCCTAAACCCTAAACCCCCAAACCCTAAACCCCTCCAAACCCTAAACCCCAAACCTCAAACCCTAAACCCCTCTAGACCCTAAATCCCAAACCCCAAACCCCTCCAAACCCTAAACCGCAAACCTTAAACCCTAAACCCCTTTAAACGCTAAACCCCTCTAAACCCTAAACCCCTTTAAACCCTAAACCCCTATATGAAGCACCGAAGGACCTGCTTTCGGGATTGATGCTTTCCAGCTTACGGGGGCTCCTATGACATGCAGCCCTGCAGGGCCTCATGCACTGCGCCCCGAAAACTTAAACTCACCGGCAAACCTACCGGTACAACTTCGTACCGGGGTGAGGGCTGGGTGGGCTTTTTATGTGCATGCACATAAAAAGTAGCAGCACAATGTCCAGGCTAACACTTAAACTCACCCAAAAGCCCCAAAACCCACAAACAAAAGCTTAAGCTCAAAGCCGCGAAGCCCTTAAACCACCCAAACACCTCACAAAACCCCGGAAGGGAGAAAAAAACAAAAGCCTGAGACCGGGAGTCTCTGAAAGGCTCAGTGTGTTGGCTCCGTGGCGCTGGGCGTGGACTGCAACGTTCACCCGCAGGGACTCTTGCGCCTTGCCCTCCTGGATTATAGTTCGGGTGCCTCTGAGGGGTTAGTATATACACATAATTACAGCGAATATATATATATATATATATA